TAAAATTGATGGAGGGGGGTACATCCGTCTTTTTCATTACGTACGGTGTCAAATTAGTCATTTAGATATATATACAGAAACGAACGCAAGCAAAATTGCAATTGCCTGCTTCCTCAGTAAAACCCTAACCTCTCTCCCTTTGATTTCTCAAGCTAATCTCTTTTTTTTTTTCCTGCGAAACAAACAGAAAAGCCGAGGGTATGGGATCCAACCTCAGGAACGATAAGATCCACGATGGCGGTGACGGAGCTAGCCCTGGGTTTGTACCCTTCTCTCTAAATTCGTTTTCACTTTGGCCATGCTTGGGGTCCTAGAAAAATTTTGCATTTTTATGCGAATTGTTGTCTGTTTTTCTAATTCACGTGTATTTCTTATCAGGCTGCTGTATTGGGTCATAAATTTTTTTATTTTTTGTAATTTTTGTTTGGCGATTCTAATTTTCTTTTGTGAAATTGGCAGGAAGATATTTATCGGAGGATTGGCCAAAGACACTACTTTAAGTGAGTTTTTCTCTCTGATTTCTTCTATTTTTTTAGTGAATTTTAAAACGTAAATTTTAGGTTTAGATAGATAATAATAGATGAGAAATATCAACATGCGATTGATCTTGGTTATTAGTTTTAGTACAACTATTGTGTATGTAATCTCCTTTTTATATTTTTATTGTTTTTGTCAAATTGCATTTCTAGTTGCTGATTTATGTTATATTGGTTGTTTCAATGGAACCATAGCCCAATTTAACAAGCACTTTGGGAAGTATGGGGAGATAACTGATTATGTGATAATGAAAGATCGGCACACGGGTCAGCCTCGGGGTTTTGGATTCATAACCTATGCTGATCCTTCTGTTGTTGATAAGGTCATAGAGGACACCCATATCATCAATGGAAAACAGGTAAATCATCTATATCTAATCGAAAAAATTTTGTGTTTGTTTTCATGATGCAACAGTGCTAACTAGACAGTTTGAGTTTGGATTTTGAACAGTTTGGAAACGGATCTACTAGTTTTTTTTTTTTTTTTTAAGTTATAATTTTTAGATGGTCTTTATGGCAACCAAACAATGGATTGTATGCTAATTATTAAATGATATTGGAGCAGGTTGAGATAAAGAGGACGATTCCTAAAGGATCCAATCATCATTCAAAGGATTTTAAGACAAAGAAGATATTTGTTGGGGGCATTCCGACATCATTCACTGAGGGTATGTTTAAAAGTTTTTTTTATTTTTTATTTTTTATTTCCCCCCTTGCATAGGATGCTGCTTAACTACAGTAACCTATTTAATTCATTGGCACCCTCTTCTAAGTTTCATGCTTGTTCTTCAGATGAATTCAGGGATTTTTTCTCCAAGTTTGGGGTAGTGACAGATCACCAGATCATACGTGATCATGAGACCAATCGCTCTCGTGGCTTTGGATTTATAGTTTTTGACAGAGAAGAAGTTGTAGATGATTTATTATCATCAAATGGAAATATGATTAATATGGCAGGTAGCCAGGTGAGCTTAGTGAAATTAGAACTAGCTTCAAAGGAATTAGTGTTACAAAAGTTACTGTTTATGGTGGAGTGTGCATTATTGTATTCTCCATCTGTCCTTTAACTATACATGGGAGTTGCTTGTCACTCAACTTGTGTTCCTTATTCTTGTTAAGTTTCTTTCTTCCTAATTTTAGGCGGAGGCCATTACAGGTAGAGATCTCCCCAGGAAAAGGGCTACCCCTATAGTTTATGTGCTCCATAATATAGGTTAACTAAGTTGCTTTGTTGTAGGTGGAGATCAAGAAAGCTGAACCAAAGAAAAACTCAAACACACCACATGGTCCTTCATATGGTAGCAACTCTAGGGGTCGTTCTTTTGATGATGGCTTTGGTGGATATGGTGGTTCCTATGGGGGTTTTGATGGGGGGTTTGGACCTGGTCCTTATAGGACACCTGGGGGTTTTGGCGCTAGACTTGGTGGTGGATATGGGTATGGTAGTGAATTTGGTGGTGGTTATGGGTTTGGAGGTAGTAGCTTAGGAGGCTATCGAGGTGAATCTTCCCTTGGTTACTCTGGTCGTTTTGCATCTTATGGGGGTGGTTTTGGTGGTGCTTATGGACCCTATGGTGGAAATGCTTTAGGTGGATATGGTCGGGGAGGTGAAGGTTATGGCAGTTACGGAGGTTCAACCTATGGTAGCGGTTATGACTCTGGTCCAGGTGCTGGTTATGGAGCAGGTGGGATTTATGGCAGGGGAGGCTATAGTAGCAGTAGTCGGTATCACCCATATGCCAGATAGGATGGAGGCATTTTGATGCAGTTCCTTAAACCTTGTCCTAGAAGATTCCTACAGGTTCCTCTAGATCTGTGTTGTGCATCATTAGGTGCTTCGACACAAAGACTAGTGAAGTCTTTTAATTGGTAGCATGCTGAGAAGCTTTCAAGATCAGATATTAAGACTATTATTTTCTTCTTTGTAACGCAAAAACTTTTAGAATGCTTCGAATTAGTATTGGGTTGTGTTGCAGTCTTACTCTAGTTTGTTTATTGTTAGCTTGTTATGGTAGAATATATATAGGATCACAGTTTGGAGTGTGTTATTATCTCCACCAGATGGATGTAGAAAATTTATGATATGGTTTCTATTTTAGATTTGCATGCCATGTTTTTGTTAGTTAGGTCACTCTAAAGTGATTGCTTAGCTGCCTGAGAATTATCATGGACTAAGTAAATATGTTTAGGTTTGATGTGGGTTAATTAATCACATATCCTAGTTCTGGAACAAATCTTTGTTGGGAGCCACTGTTGGGATGGACCCTAATAGGGAGGGCTAGGCCAAAGCTCTGGATTATCTACTTTGAAATTCGTTTGAAAGATTATGTATGCACTTGGGAAGGATGGAGTGTGTATTAATTGATGTGTGGAAATAATTGCTGCACTTGGAAGCTTTATTGATTTTAATTGTTTTTCTTTATTATCTGATCTAAAGTTTGTAATTGTTGATCTGTTGGGTGCATCTTTTCTCTGTAGACTTATGATATTATAATTAATGAAATGGCAAGAGTGCATGCCTTTGCTTGCTAATGTAATGTTTTAGCTGCAGCAGGTGAATGTTGGATGATTGGCATTGGCACACAACTTTAAATTATTAGTTAGTTAATGTGTGGAAGCACTTGAAAAATTAGTACCCTTTTGCAACTGTATTTCTTTTGAAAAAAAAAAGAAAAAGAAGAGGAATTACCAAAAAATATAAAGAAGAATTAACTTCTCATCTTTTTTCAACAAAAATATATCTATGTGTATATAAGAATAATGTATATCAATCTAATTTTATAAAAAAAATTAGTGTTTAGTTTCAATAATATTATCTTTTAATGAACATTTTAAAAATTGATTGTTGAATTTAATATTTTTTATATGAATTATATTTGTTAATTTTATAATTGAATATATTTAACTAAGTTATTAATTATGTAAAATTTAATATTATTAAATATTTATTAAAAATATGAACTTTTTTAAATAATTATAAATGCTAAATTGATATAAAGGTTGACCTTTATGGTTTGAATTCATAAAAATTAAATTGAACTGTTAATTTTTAAAAATATTCAATGAAAAGGGAGTTGTTAATCTTTTAATACAAGTAAGGATTAAAAAATATTAATTTTTTTAATAATATATTTTTTAAAAAATGAAAACTCAAAAAGATGACTTGAGGATTGGGGTCGAACGACATCGTTTGTAAATTCTAAGGTCTCAGAATCCATCGTTTCTTCCAAATTGAAAACCTAAGCGAAAATCGCAGGGTCTGTCATAATTGAGATGGAAACGACGTCGTTTGTAAATTCGTAGACTAGTCGAAGTAAAATAATAATAATAATAATAATAATAAATAAAACCTTCGAAATGGCTTCATTCACCGGCCGGGGAGGGAGCTCCGCACGCACGGCACGTACCACAGCTACACGCTCCTCCTGTCTCAGGGGTAGACACTCCGATCTTTCTTTTCGCTATCGCCGGCGATTCCACCATGGCTGCCGACTTGAGGTACGAGATCTCACAAAACGCCTACATCAAGCTCGTTCTCCATGCTCTCAACCACAAGACGGCCGCCGTCAATGGCGTTTTACTTGGCCGTCCCAGCCCACTCAACCACTCCATCCTCGAGATCACTGACTCCGTTCCTCTATTTCATTCCAATCTCGCCCTCTTGCCTCCTCTCGAGATTGCCCTCATCATGGTCCGTAATCCATCTATTTTTCCCCTTTAGCCTTTATACATGTTTTCTGATTTTTACTTGATAAAGCTAATCAATTTGGAGTTTTTTAGGTTTTAGAATCAGTAAATTTTGAATCTTTTCCCGTAATTTTAATACTAATTGCATTTGCAATTTCTTAATTAATCTCAATCAGATAGAGGAGCACTATGTTGCCGAGGGCAAGGGAATTGTGGGATATTTCCACGCAAACGAGAGGTTTGATGATGCAGAGCTGGGTATTGTGGCGAAGAACATCGGCGATCACATCTGTCGATACTCTCCTGAAGCTGCTATTCTCTTGGTATGTATCAAGTGGCAATCTTTATTTTCGATGCTGCTTAGCTTTGCTTTCTATTTAATTCTTGATTCCGTTTTGGTTTTGTTTGATTCCTTGTAGTTAGATAACAAAAAGCTGGAAGCTTTACCCAAGGTGAAAGACCAGAGCCCTGTAATGCAGGTTAGTGTAGCTGTGGAATTCTTTCTTTTAATTTAACGCCTTAGTTTAATGTTTTTTAGATTACATGAGTACGTTCTGCGGTGCTCCTCTGTAGAATTGGTGTAGTTTGTGCCCGATACATATTGCAGTAGACTTCACATTGATCTAGTTTGGATTCTTTCTTCTAGTGTCTACTCTACTACCCCTTGACAAAGGTTGTTTTCTTCCTCCTTGCCAGTCGATTAAATGACAAAGGAGCAATGAGAATCTTAGAATGACTGATTTGTTGTAGCTCAGTTGGAAGCCCTTTCCCTAAATGATATTATCCCTCTTATGTTTTCTGTTTTTGATTCAAGTGTAAATTCCATTTTAGTACAAGGATAAATTGATATCTTCAGCAGCAAGACTTTTTGATGGGTTGCTGTTAGACTGGGAGTTAAGTATTGAGGGGTTCTACGACTCAAATGAGTCTTGGATTAGGGATTGCTGGATCATGAATGATAGGAAAAGTCAGGAGCAAAATTTTGGGAGAGTCTGATGTCCAACAGAATGGTAATATATGCCAAGCACAACCATTTTTGCACTAGTCAGAAGAGGCTTTTCTTGTAAACATTTCAGGTTTTGGATGGGAACTGTCTATCATTTTAAGAGTTTTATGTCATTATCTTATTATTATGTACATTATGAATCTCCACTTTCTGTCCTTGGACTTCAAATTGCAGACTCATGGTGATTAATGTTTGATATTATTTCCAATCAATTTTTTATTTCATTTTCTGCTCTTAATGTTTATTCCTTAAAAATTGGTTGGAACCACTGCTGGATTCATCATCTTGTAAAATTTTTCAAATGATAGACATTTAAGCTGAAGTTGTTGTGTTGTTTTTATGCATTAGCTTTATACAAGGGATGGATCCAAGAACTGGAAACTGGTTGGTGGCGGCAACCGTTTGATGGTTAAGGAGCCAGCAGCTAATGTTGTCCTATTGGATTACATTTCATCGGAGAAATGGCATGACGTTGTAGATTTTGATGACCACCTTGACGACATTAAGAAGTGAGCTCCTACATCCTTTCTTCTACTTTCTCTTAGGAAAAGAACTGTTATTGTCATAAGCTCAAGCTTTTTAATTCATGCTTGCCTCAACAGGGACTGGCTGAACCCAGAACTCTTCAAGTAAGATTGATCTCGTCTGTTCTTAGAGGTGAATGCTCCTGGCATGTGACTTGCATAGGAGGACATTAACTAGAAGATGAGTATGAGGGACACTGATCTTGAAGGTCTTTTATTAGTATTTGCAAGGAGATTTTGTTCAAATGTCTTGATTGACATTTAATGTGTTAAACGAAGGGATCCAACGCATGTTCTTCTGTTGAAACACATGGTTTATGGTTTTATGACTTTCTAATGGAATGAAAGGCCGTTCAAATTTAGATGTGCTGCATTATGTTCTTGGTCCTTTATGGCTTCATCCATAATTTTACCCCTTTTTTTCCTCAAAATTTTCAGTTGGAAAACAGAGTGTGTTGATCTCAAAAGATTCGATTTTTTCATTAGTTCCTGTCACCTCAGAGTTATGTTTCTAGATAACCGAACAGTGGTTTGGTTACACCCAAATGACCCAATGTAAAAAAATGTAAGTTAAGAAATGAAACGAACTTCTTACAAAAATAAAATTATATGGCACTACATTTCACTCCAAAGTCAAACATTGGAAATGTCTTTTATGGCCCTTCAACCTGCCATCGCAATCGCACATATGGTTCTGGATACAGCTGCCTGATGAGAAGTAGAAAATGCTACCCGCTCTCCCTACTTCTTCCTCTGTTCATTCCAATGCTCAAAATCTCGTCTTTAACTTCAATTCTCCATGGGAGCTTAAACAAGTTCATGCCTACCTCATCAAAACCAACACGCCTCTATCCTTCCTCCCTCTTTCTCGAGTTGCATCAATTTGTGCTCTCTCTACTAGTTTTTCTTATGCACATCAAATCTTTGTCCAGATCCAGAAATCCCCAATTGTTCTATGGAACTCTTGCTTGAAATCGCTAGCAGAGGGTGACTTCCCATTTGATGCAATCTTGTTCTTCTATCAGCTGCGTCAATTTGACATAAAGCCGGATACTTTCACATGTTCTTTTGTCCTTAAGGCCTGCGCCGCTATTTTGGACGTGAGGAATGGAAGGATTGTACATGGGTATGTGGAGAAACATGGGTTTGGATGGAATTTGGTTGTGCAAAATTCCATCTTGAATTTGTATGCATTGTGTGGAGAAATGGGTGTGGCTCGGTTGTTGTTTGATAAAATGCCGCACAGAGATATTGTGAGTTGGAATATAATGATTGCCCAGTTACTGAAGATGGGAGATGTCGAGGAGGCGTATGGACTGTTCCGTAGGATGCCAGAAAGAAGTGTGAGGTCCTGGACAATGATGATTTCGGGATTTGTTCAGTGTGGGAAGCCGAAGGAGAGTATCAAGCTGTTTATGGAGATGGAGGGGGTTGGAGTTCAGGCAAATGAGGTAACTGTGGTCGCTGTTTTGGCAGCTTGTGCTGATCTGTGTACACTTGAGTTGGGGAGGAGGGTTCATGAATACGCGAAAAGAAGTGGATTTGGGAAAAATATTAAAGTTTCAAATACTTTGATTGACATGTATGTGAAATGTGGTTGCTTGGACGATGCTAAGCAGGTTTTTGATGATATGGAAGAACGAACTGTTGTATCGTGGTCAGCCATGATTGTAGGACTTGCAATGCATGGAAAAGCGAAGGAAGCTCTAAAGCTTTTCTCAAAGATGGTCCGAATAGGGATGAAGCCTAATGGGGTAACCTTCATTGGAATCTTGCACGCGTGTAGCCATATGAGATTGATCGATAAGGGCCATGAATTTTTCACCAGCATGACTAGAGACTATGGAATCATTCCCCAAATAGAACATTATGGTTGCATGGTGGATCTTCTAAGTAGGGCCGGACTCCTTCAAGATGCCCTCAATTTTATCACGAAGATGTCAATAAAACCAAACGCAGTTGTATGGGGAGCTCTTCTTGGAGGATGCAAGGTTCACAAAAATGTTGAACTTGCTGAAGAAGCTACTATACACCTTGCTGAATTGGATCCTCTTAATGATGGATATTATGTTGTTTTGTCAAACATATATGCAGAAGCAGGAAGATGGGAAGATGCAGCAAGAGTAAGGAAACTGATGAAAAATCGAGGGGTGAAGAAGACTCCTGGATGCAGTTCAATTGCAGTTGATGGGGTGGTTCATGAGTTTGTTGCTGGACAGGATAACCATCCTCAGGCTAAGGAAATATCTCAAATGTGGGAAAAACTATTGGGAGAAATGAAGCTAAGAGGATACCTGCCAGACACATCAGTAGTCTTGTTGGATATTGAAGAGAAAGAAAAGGAAAAATTTCTACATCGCCATAGTGAGAGATTAGCCCTGTGTTTTGGGCTACTAAACACACGTGATGGAGAGGTGATTAGGATAATGAAGAATCTTCGGGTTTGTGAAGACTGTCACGTTGCTTTCAAGTTTATCTCGGAAATTATTGATAGGGAGATAATTGTGCGTGACCGGAACAGGTTTCATTGTTTCAAAGATGGTTCTTGCTCTTGCCTGGATTACTGGTAGTGAGTCTAGTCTTGTTCTGTTAATTCTTTTACTTTGAGAACATGGGCTTGACTGTAACTAGACAGCATGCCAATTCACCCTTAAATGTAAGCTAAGCCTAGGCGATTAACAGAGGTTTTGTTTGTTTCCTCGGACAATAAAAATTCTAGCAGAAATTTGTTGGGAGTTTCCTAAGGTTCTGTTCTCTTTTCCAATGAAGGAAAATGAAGATAAATATTGATTTTAGAGAAAAAAAGAGAAGGAAAGGAAAGGAAAGGGCAGGTTTTGTTTTGTTGGGCCCCTTTATTTAAGTTTTTTTTTTTTTTATTGGAAAAATTGTTTGAAGTTTGAAGTTTAATTTATTCTTTTTTTTTTGTTAGGTTTCACTTTTTGTTTGGGGTGCAATCCACTGACAGTCTTATTAGACTGCAGTGACCACCAATGGATCACAACAGTGGAATGCCTTAATTAAAGTATTTGAATCTTAATGGTAACATGCAAGATATGGTTCAAGACAGTGAACAGAGATTCAGAGAGCATGTTCTGTCAGAAATTTCTAAAGATCCACACCCTCACATGGCACCCACAACGTCAATACGTTATGAAACTAATTAATAGTTTTTTCCTTTTTGGGCCCAAGAATCTAATTAATAGTTTACTCAAATGTATTTCAACTGTGAAGAGAATGTTGTATTGCACGTTAGTACTTCTTTTTATGCACGCATGTATGTATATATATATATATATTATGTTTTTTATGGGCAAGATAACGGATCATTAAAAAACTATCTGTTTCATAGTTTCCTTCCACACATTTCACTCCTGGGGAACATTTTATTTTCGTTTTTACCATAAGAAAAGGGAGATTTCTAACTCGCACATCCCCATCAACATTAAAACTCACAACAAATCTCACGTCACATGCTCATCAACTTATTTGGTTAGTTCACAATCACGTATATAATTAAAAATAATTGAGTACCGTATTTGAAGAAAAAAGTTCTTTGGTTGTCATAATCTCTTTTGGGGTATGGTATGAAGTCTTTTGAGGTACTTTAAACTTTGTGACGTGTTGGATTTAAACCTCAAAATAAAATGTATATTTTATTTGATGATTATTATTATTTGTTTTTATATTTAATTATGATAAATTACATTAGAAGAGGTAATTTTTTATTTTTTTAAGTCCTTTTAATATGGTTAAAATTTTTAAATTTAAATTTTTAGTAATTAAATTATTCTTAAATGTGATTATTACTACTAGTTAAGGTACTAGTATTATTTCTATACTCCAATTATTGATAATCACATTGCTAATCCAAATCATGCCAAATATGACGGCAATGGCAAAACCAACACGGCAATCGCTATCCGTATGGAAGCTGAGCTTTCCCAGTATCTTCGAGGAATTAATTAATCTAACGTGGCTACACCTTCATTGCTTGCTTCCTTCCCTTTCGTTACCTTGTACAAATTATTAAGTTTGCCTTGTAATTTCCCAATTCCACGTTGGATACACGTATTTGATTCTACTCAGGTCATGTCAACGTGGTTGCCTCTTTCTCCTCTGCCTTTTTGGATTTTATATCATCTATGACTATGACATGATACAGAGTTGACGATCCAATAAGAAACGTTCATTTTTTTTGTGAAATAGGGAATGGAATAAGAACCGTTCATATTCCTTGTAAAGGTTGCATCTTTTGGGTGGTGGGTGGGTCATGGGTGTAAAGGTTTGATCTTTTTTCGTAGGTGGGTCAGATCATCACGTGGGAAATGTAAATGTTGGGGGATGGACACGTTATTTTCAGGATAAGTTAAGGCGGCGTACATATTCTAATATATACTTCTTCTTTTTTTTTGAAAATAGGTAATGGACATATTCTCATAGACAACTCATGAGTTTTGATGGATTCCCGCCATCGCCTATTGTTTTTATTTTTTATTTTTTATTTTTTATTACAAAAACAATGATTAATAAATTAATTTTATTAGTTATTAACAATTGAAAATTCAATTTTTAGATCTGGTGAACATCCCATCTCTTTCAATGAGGCGCGCAATTCATCAAATTGCTTGGTGAAAGTTCACCTATTATTTTTATTTGGTATTAACTTTTTTTTAATATTCAGTAATAATATTAAATTTTAATTAATTTAAAATTAAATTATGTTAAATATTATTAAAAAATATTTTTAAAAATTTATTTTTGTATTTACAAAGTTTAAATTTAAAGGTAACTAATTCTTTTCCTTTGTAGCGACAGGTCATTGGTATCATCGCCTATTGTGCTTGCCCATGTCTGACGTTGGAGGAGTCAGTCCCTCGATTGCAATTTGGATTATTTGCAGTCCTTCAATTCAATACTACAGCATTGAAGAAGCCCTGGTGCACATAAATAGTAGAGATTGTTGGCCCACATTGTTTCTTCATTTCTATAAGTAGTGAAGGGAGTCTGTGACCCCTAGGCATTGGGACTGTTAAGATATTTCTTGATCATCCCAAGAAATTTTCTGTTTTTCTGTGCGTTTGATCTAATCAAAGGTGGATGTTTGTGATATACTGGTACTAGAAAAGGATGACAGTGGGAGCAGGGATTTGTGTGAGTGATGGGAAGTTGATGGTGTTGGGGAACTGCATTCTGCATGATGTTTATGATAACATTGTGGTGTCTCCGGCCTCGGGAGGTGGATTGTCCAATGGAGCTTTCATCGGGGTTGCATCTGATCAGATGGGGAGCCGCAGGGTGTTTCCCGTTGGCAAGCTTGAGTATGTTCTTATCCCAGGCTTCCTGCTTCTGCAAAATGTTTCCTTTTTTCTTCTTTTATATTCAAGCTTGGTTGCTGGGGAATTAGAAAAAGGAAAAAAGAAAAGAAAAAAAAGAACATAATTTTGGCATAAAACAGTTCTCTTGTTCTAAATGAAAAGATGGCTTTTTGCTAAGTAGTAGATTCTGATGGATTTTTCAGTTTCTGTTTTTAATCTACAGCTTTTATTAAATAGATTGTGCGTTGAGAAGGAGAAATTTTGTGCTCAAGCTAAGCTTGTGGCTTGTGCTTTATTTTCCTTTTGTTTTTATGTTTGATCTTTAAAAAGATGGCAAACGAGAGCCTGAGCTTTTAATTTGTTGTTGTAAGCAACAAAATCTCTAGCTAGGAGAAACTTATTTGGTTTTCAGTCATCTAGGATTAGGATTTGCTTGGATCATTATATGGTTTCGTTTTCTGAATGATAGATTTGGTATGCAACCAATCATCTGTCTGTAGTGCACTGTTGTTGAAAGGGAGATTTCGGTTTTATCATGGCTTTGAATTTGATGTTAAATCTTGTTAATTTTCAGGGGCTTGCGCTTTATGTGTGTTTTCCGTTTCAAAATGTGGTGGATGACACACAGGATGGGTAACTGTGGGCAAGATATCCCCTTTGAGACCCAATTTTTGATTGTTGAAGTATGCGAAGGATCTCATTTTGACGAGGGAAGCGAACAACAATCTTCCCTATATGCTGTATTTTTACCACTTCTTGAGGGGAATTTCAGGGCTGTTCTTCAAGGCAATGAAAGAAATGAGATAGAGATATGTTTGGAAAGTGGTATGAGAAAGGGAACACTGATTTCAAGCTAATCTTTTAAACAATGTTTTCTTGTTCTTATTTAAACAATGAACATTTTCACGCATTTACAGGAGATCCTGCTGTTGATGAGTTTGAAGGAACTCATTTGGTTTTTGTAGCAGCTGGACCAAATCCATTTGATGTCATCACCAATGCAGTAAAGTAAGTTTTAAGATTGCATTGCCAATAACATTTTCTAAACTTTGAATTTGAACTCAACATTTATTTTTGCCTGTTTGCCAGTAACATCCATTCTGAAATTTGTTATTGCAGTTTATACTCGAATTCCATCTTCATGATTTTGAAATTTGAATACCATTACTATATATGATGCTTTCAGAAACATAATAGTTGAATTTTACAAGATATATGTACTTCTTGAATCATCGAGCCTACAGTAGATTGAGTTGTTTTTTTCATAATTTCTTCACTTTTAACAGACAGAATTTCCCTCTTATGTAATCAAAATTATCAGCTAAGTTAAATCACAAATTACATGCAGGACCGTGGAGAAACATCTACAGACCTTTTCTCATCGTGAGAGGAAGAAGGTAAATTTAGGTTATTCTTGAAAAGCTATATTCCTTGGCTGGCATTTTATTTTGCTATTATAATTTCTACTTCATATGTTGAACAAATTAAAAGTCTCTGTGGTTGTGGTTTAGATGCCAGATATGTTGAACTGGTTTGGCTGGTGTACATGGGATGCTTTCTACACTGATGTCACTTCAGAGAGCGTGAAGGAAGGCTTAGAGAGGTAATATTTTGCTTGATAATTGTGCTAGGTTCCAATACATTGATTTTCACAATTTCTTTGGCCATTTGATTTTGTCAATTATACATAGAAAGCTAACTAATCATTATCGCAGCTTGGAGAAAGGTGGAATTCCTCCAAAATTTGTTATTATTGATGATGGGTGGCAATCTGTTGCCATGGATCCTAATGGCACTGAATTCAAAGCTGATAATGCAGCCAAGTAAGCATTTAAACCAGAGGTCCTGGTATTATTCTGATATCCTGCCTCCATCACTTCATTGTTTACGCCAATCTTCCCCTTTTTTCCTTTCAGCTTTGCAAACAGATTAACACATATCAAAGAGAATCACAAATTTCAGAAAAATGGCAAGGAGGGGTACAGAATTGAAGATCCAGATCAGGGACTACGCCACCTTGTTACTGACATTAAAGAAAAACATGCCTTGAAGTATGTGTATGTATGGCATGCAATAACCGGGTACTGGGGAGGTGTTAGACCAGGTGTCACTGAAATGGAACACTATGAATCCAAGTTAGCTTATCCTGTTCAATCTCCTGGAGTTGAGTCAAACGAACCTGATGAAGCCTTGAACAGCATAATTGAGAATGGCCTTGGCCTTGTTAACCCTGAGAAGGTTTTCAACTTTTACGATGAACTTCATTCCTACCTTGCATCAGCTGGTATTGATGGTGTCAAAGTTGACGTTCAAAACATCCTTGAAACTCTTGGGGCAGGCCATGGGGGAAGAGTAAAACTTGCTAGAAAATACCATCAGGCTTTAGAGGCATCTATTGCTCGAAACTTCCTTAACAATGATATAATCTCTTGCATGAGTCACAACACAGATGGTTTGTACAGGTAAAGTTTATGATCTGTTTCTAATTAGAAACCTTAAAATATTTTTCTTTTAGTAAGGTCAAGTAATCTGAATTGGAGTGACGTGAATGTTGTTGGATGCAGTGCAAAACGGACAGCTGTTATTAGGGCATCTGATGACTTCTGGCCAAGAGATCCAGCATCTCACACAATTCATATTGCATCTGTTGCTTTCAATACTGTTTTTCTTGGGGAATTTATGCAGCCAGATTGGGATATGTTTCATGTACGCCATCAAATTAGTACTGTTTTGAACTTTCAGTAAGATACATCTTTGAATTGTTGATGGTAACCTCTGGTTTAATTTCATTTCTCATTTAATAGAGCCTTCACCCAATGGCTGAATACCATGGAGCAGCTCGTGCTATTGGGGGATGTGCAATCTACGTCAGGTACAAATTTGAAGTCCATTTTTTTATCCGCATCAATCTACTTACAAATACAAGCTTTTTGTTTCTCACATGGGATATACACTATTGTAGTGACAAGCCAGGACATCATGACTTTAACTTACTCAGGAAGCTTGTACTTCCTGATGGCTCTATATTGAGAGCCAAACTTCCAGGAAGACCTACAAGGGATTGCTTGTTTAATGATCCTGCCAGAGATGGGAAAAGGTGAGAAGAGAAATAAAATATTTTGAATTCATGACTCTAGAAAAAGAGAGAACTCCCCTCCCTCATAAAAAAATTGCTGAAACAAAATGATTTCTTGCTCACTACGACATCTATGTTGCAGCCTTTTAAAGATTTGGAATGTAAACGACTTCACTGGAGTTGTGGGGATCTTCAACTGCCAAGGAGCCGGGTGGTGCAAGGTTGGGAAGACAAACCTTATTCATGATGAGCAACCTGGCACAATAACAGGATTTGTGAGGGCTAAAGATGTTGATTATCTGCCTAAAGTAGCCCATGAAGGATGGAATGGAGATGCCATCTTTTATTCCCATCTTGGTGGTATGTTATTCTTGTGTATGCTAATTTGTGTCCGTTGTTACAATCATAAGTATCACACTCACACGAGTTTAAATGTTAGCAAGTTGGATTATTGTTCCATTTTGTTTGTGTAAAGAAGTATTGTGGTGGCAAATGCAGGAGAAGTTGTCTATCTTCCAAGCAACACATCAATGCCAATAACTGTCAAGGCCCGGGAATATGAAGTGTTTACAGTAGTTCCTGTTAAGGAAATGTGGAACGGGGTTAAATTTGCTGCTATTGGTTTAATCAAGATGTTCAACTCAGGTGGAGCCATAAAGGACTTAAGATATGAATCGGAGCAAATTGCAAGTGTGAGCCTAAAAATTCGAGGGTGTGGCCTTTTTGGAGCTTATTCATCCTCCAGACCAAAGAGAATTACAGTTGATTCAGAAGAAGCAGACTTTGAATATGAAGAAGCATCCGGTTTGGTTACTTTTTCCTTGGGAGCTCCTGAGAAAGAGTTGTACCTGTGGAGCATAGGGATTGATATATGATTTAACCAAATTTTTTGTTCTGTTCGTTGTTGTTAGTCTCTATATGTATATTTAAGCAATGCTAGATGACTATTTTAGAAGATAAGTTAGCCGGTATCAACTGCGTTACTCTTATATGTATTTGTACTTAGGGATCATATTGACAATGGGGGCCAAAAAACATCATAATATTGATTATGGTGCAGGAGGTCACCGATCATTTTTAAATAAAAAATAATGGTTTCTCTTTATGTTTTATAATAATTTTAATGTTTGAAATTTATATTATACCTTAATATTTTATTAATTTAGAGTTAAGGTAAGTTTTTTTTTTTTATTTATATGATTCAAATTTAAAATTTTATTTAAAGATAAATTTTTTTTTTTGAATTAATAAGTAGTTGATGCATAGTTTGTTTTCGTAATAACCCTCTCTCTCTCTCTTTTTAATTTCTTTTTTTTTGATCATTTTAGCTGGGGCTATGAAATAAAATGAAAATGAGAAAAAAAATAATAGTTATTCTTTATGAGACTTTCACTTGAATTTGTTTGATTTGAGGTCTTATGTAATGCAAGGGCCCTTGAACAGCATCTCCAGCAATTAGAACTTGATACTTTTAAGAGATCTAAAATTAAGAATCTTTGGTAAGGGAAGAACCATTAAAGCTGTATACCAAAAATGAAATTGATTTAATTAATACTACTTATATAATCAATGCAGCATATTAAATTTTGTTAAAAGGTCTAAAATGCATTAAAGTTTAAAAATTGAAAAAATTGACACTACCGGCTGCAAGCCATTTTACCCTTTTTTTTTTTTTTTCTTTATCATTTTTGTTGGGGTTTGGTTCGGGTAGAAGGGTTTAAGATCAAAAGGAGAACACTTTTTTGGTGAGCACAAACATCCTGCGCAACCAAACGCCGAAAGGGAGGGAAACAATGTCTCAAATCAGAGTCTTGTCTTCGATTCTCAGGAGGACTAAATCCACCCTAGTATCTAATCTCAGAGGAAATGCATCGTCCCGGTTTTTCACTTCCTGCTCTTCCTCCTCCTCCTCCGCCTCCTCTTCCTCTTACTTTTCTTCTACAGTTGCTAGAAGCTCCTTCCATGGCTTTAAATCACTTCCCAAGGTTCTACTCTGTCTAAAATTTTGGTTTTTTTTTATTGGATTTTCATTTCCAAGCTTGAAATTTTTATTTGATCATTGAATTAGTTTTATAAAGTTTCATTTTTTCTGAGAAATTCATGTTGGGTTTTAGGGTCATCATGTGCCCTCGTTCCGGAATATGTCTACAGTTGCATCTGTTGCTGCAGAAAATAAGGAGGGATTAAAGCTACTAGTAAGTGGAGGTCCTCGTGCTCAGAAAATGGTGGGCATTTGGCTTTTTGGATCCGCCGCATGGGTTTTCAGTATGGTGGTGCTTGGTGGTGTCACTCGCCTCACAAGATCCGGTCTTTCAATGACTGATTGGAAATTTACCGGTGGTCTCCCTCCGATGGCAGATGAAGAGTGGTTGCAGGAGTTTGAGAAGTACAAGCAGTCACCAGAATATAAACGGTATGTCAAGATAACTGCCTATAATTTAATTTCAGAAACATCAGTGCAGTCCTTGGTAATCATATCTTATTTCTGCTTCTGCAAAAGGGTCCTGGAAATAAGATAATGGGTAATGGGTAACTGTATTTCTATTTGCATATCAATCCACTTTATCTCTGTTGGTGATTGATTTAGTATCTAATAGGAGTTGATGTGTCATTTAAGATGGGAGGAAGTTGGTTTGGAATCATTGATGTTAATGTAGTTTTTACTACTTGCAGAGTAAACAAAGGAATGAGTATTGAAGATTTTAAATTTATATACTGGATGGAATATGCACATCGTATGTGGGGAAGGGCTCTAGGTGTCATGTTTGCTTTGCCATTCTCATATTTTCTTCGAAAGGGATACATTACTGTACGTCTTGGACTAAGACTCTCTGCCCTTTTTGCTCTTGGGGCTGGTCAGGGTCTAATTGGTTGGTGGATGGTCAAAAGTGGTCTAGAGGTGAGAAGTAATTAATTTCTTGTAGTAAAATTTTTATTCTTAATCTGTGGAAGTTTCTTTAACTTATGCATGGTTTCTTTCTGTAGGAGCCAGCATCTGAATATGCTCAACCACGAGTAAGCCCTTATCGCCTCGCAGCTCATCTTACTTCAGCATTTGTAATTTACAGTGGCCTGTTCTGGACTGCACTTTCTGCTGTTATGCCTGAACCTCCTGCTGAATCATTAGCTTGGGTTCAAGGAGCATCTAAAGTCAAGAGGCTTGCACTTCCAGTAGGCCTCATTGTTGGCATTACTGCTATTTCAGGAGCATTTGTTGCAGGAAATGATGCTGTATGTAGCTATTCTTGTTTGCTTCTGCTTCTCTTTTTTCAATTTTCATGGTAAACCTAGAAAACAGATTCTGGTGCTAGCTAAGGTACAATTTTACAGTGCTGCTTCCTTAATTTCTAGGGTCATGCATACAACACTTTTCCAAAGATGGGAGACACGTGGATTCCTGATGATATATTTGATCTAAAACCACTAAGCCGAAACCTCTTTGAGAATACATCATTGGTGCAGGTAAGTTCTCTGAGCTAAGAATTTTTTCTCAGTGTCCTCTGTGCTAAGAAAACCTCCAACAACTTAAGCAACTTGGTTGATCTTCTGTATAATTTGCTATGCAATGTTGCACAGAAATGCAATCTAATTTAAAATAAGTAATAAGAGATTGATTAGAGCATAATATATGAAAAATATTTTTTTTGAAAGAAAAAAAGATAGGCATCAATTTGACATGGAATACTTCATGTCATTTCTGTTGTCACTGGGGTGGAACCATTCCATTCAATAAAAGTACCTCTAAACTTCTAGTTGTCAAACTCCTTAAAGAAAGATGGTTCAGGGAAGTTATCTCCTTCCCGTTCAGTTCTCTAGTTCCCTGCTGTTAGTTGTATGGCCTCTGGCTAAGTTTTGTAGACATGGCATCAGATATGCTGTGTCTTTTAATTGCATGAAGTTAATCATTAGTCACATTGGACGGCATTAGAAATATTATCTCTAATACGTTTGAAGAAACAGAGAATGTCTATTGACAAATATCGCTTCTTGTTTTTTCACTTTTGCAGCTCAACCACCGTATACTTGCAACTGCAACTCTACTTTCAATTGGTGCATTGTGGTTGTCAACTAGAAAGCTGGATATCCATCCTGCTATCAAATCTTTGATTGGAAGCACTGCAGGCATGGCTGCCCTTCAGGTAATCTGTTTATCAATGTTCCTTCTCTTCATATTTAGACAAAGACACGGTCTTTCCTTCCAGTCCCAGCTTCCGTCTTACATGTAAAGTTTCTCTTTTATAAAGGTTATGTTTCTCTTTAAGGGTTATAATTCTATTATAATGTTTCTGTTCATTTCAGGTAACTTTAGGTATATCAACACTTCTATCCTATGTTCCTGTTTCGCTTGGCACAGCCCATCAAGCAGGGGCTTTGACTCTTTTGACACTCATGCTTTTGCTAAATCACACCGTCCGGAAGCCATCACCGTCGCTTCTTAAAACATTGCCTCAACTAGCAAAGACAGTTTGAGACTGTTGTCTTGCGAGGATGATTATTCAGATTGATTTAAGTACATCTGATTGAATTTTGACTCTCATGCTTTTATGATTAATTGTGTCTCACGGGACTGGGAGGAGAGAATATTTCTTTCCTGCATTGCTTGTTATACGATCAAAATACTTGTTTCCCAAATGCTACATAATATCATATATAATAATTAAGTTCTATAAAAATTGGTCCGATACACAAAACAAGCATCCTGATCACTGGGAGAAACAAAAGGCACAAATTATGATGGTCAATGCCTAGTTTTTGTATCTTCATGTGCTGCAATACTTGGAGGGATGAGTCCGTTTGCAACGTGTCCTTATAGGCATTAGCAAGTGTTCCATGTCATGGCAACAGGCTGCCATGAGAGACCCATAAGGCGACGTGTCTTTTGTACCTGTTCACTATAAAGGACCTTCTACATCAGAATCACCTAGCAAAAACCAAAGAAAATAAAGCAAAGAGCAAAAACAGTGTACAAACTGATACAGTAGCAATGCAAGAACACCAATGGGCGGCCAATGGAGGCAGAAGCTTAGTCTGCGCATCCCTGGCTGGCGTGGCAGTGAGTGCACCCCTGCTTGGCATTTGTACGTTCAGTTTCATTGCAGCATTGACCCTGCTGCTCGTAAGCACACCCCTCCTGTTGATATTCGGTCCTTTGCTCGTGTTCTGCCCTTTTTTTTATTGGGACCTTGGTGGGGTTTGGTGCGGCTGCAACAATGGCTGTTATGGGTGTTTCGTCGGTGGTATGGATGTATAGAGGGTTAAGAGGCTCTGTAGGGGCCGGTGGTAGTGTGGGAGAGAGGTTAGTTGAGCTTAGTGAGAGAATGAAGGAGCAAGGGAAGGAATGGGCGGCATATCTGCAGCCAAAGGTGCTGGAGAATTCCTCTGATTCATTAATCCATAAAGAGGTTGAGAAGTTGATCTGCTGCTTTGATGGTCTCCGCTTGTTAATCTACGCACATGGCCTGTGCTGTTTCCTTTGTCACTGTAATTTTCGAAGAAATAATAAATGTGTTGTAGAAGTTGAGTCTGTTCTGCACGCTGAAAGAAGGCGGATATAAGTAATCATTTGTGGTTTGCTGCTTGTTCTTGATGATGCATAGGTAGGAGAAAATGTTCCACAAAACAAAACAAACATGCTCCAATTTGCATTACTGTCAATTGACCTTTAATCTTCTAGACTCTAGAGTTAATAATGGAATTGAGCAAGAAATAAAGCCGTGATTAATGGAGGCAGATGAGTAATTGGACTTGTCAAAAGTTTGGAGGACCTTTATTCTTTGCATGTCACAAGCGATTCTTATTTCTTTTGAAAACAACACAAGAAGATGCAATTATCTCCGTTCTCCTGCAATCAATGCGGTGTTCTACCTCAATCAATTTTTTGCATTGTTGGGTGTAACCAAAAAAAAAAAAAAAATTTGCATTGTTGGAAAAAGTGAAAGGCTCGTGAATCCAATAAAGATTTTCTCCTTTTTTATCCCTTCACATTAAAAATTTCATTATTTGCACCATCTACAAATGATAAGTTTGTAATCTTCAGTTGTGGAGGATGAACTAAGCCTAAGGCAGCGGCAGCAGCGGCAGCAGCGGTAGCAGCGGCAGCAGCGGTAGCAGCGGCAGCAGCGGTAGCAGCGGCAGCAGCGGTAGCAGCGGCAGCAGCGGTAGCAGGAGCAGCTTAAGAAGAAAGCAGAAGGGAATCAATTGTAAAACGGAAGCACACTCAGGGAATAAAGCAATTACAGAAGCTAGCTTTATTCCTACAACAGAGTTGAAGAGGCTATCAAAACGTTTACTGGGAGACAGTTTGGGTCCTAATCCTCTTGCATTTGTTTATCTGCTTGCTTAAAGTGGGGTCAATTCTTCAAGGTGCAGTCCCCTCCTCGCTCCTTTTTGTTTTGCATGTTTTTATGTGACTAAGTTCGAAAGCGAGGAGGGGATCTTGTTGTATTTGGGTTGATTTTATATGGATTTGGAAGGAAATTGTTATTAAAAATTAATTGAAAAGGTCAGTTAGGAGAGTGAAATATTTATGGAGTAAAATTAGGAGATTGTTGGAACGGTCAAAAGCGCTGTTTGAGGGAAAATCACTCTCCTTGTCCCTTCAAAACTTGAACTTTCTTCTTGGAGATACAACATAATCATCGCTCTCTTTCTTTTCTTTCAAATCGTCTTCTATAGGTTGATTTCCCTCCTCTCTTTGTTTGTACCCTGTAATTTGTATAGCTACTTGTGCACTTGAGCAGAGCTAGAATTCTCAATCTCAATGGGAAACGCAGTGTTTTTCCTATTGATTGCCTGACCTAGAATCAAGGATGATACCATCTTGTTTTCAAGTCCTACAATTGTTGCAGTTGTTTCAATTTGTTTACTTTTGTTTCAAGGGTGTGGAGAATTTATAATACAAGAAGATGGATTACAAGCTGCAAATATTTGGGGTTAAACCCCACCTTCAAGTAAGTTATTAACCATTTGACAATTACTTTATCACATTAGTTTTGAATAATGGAGAAAATGCTCAATGTTGCAGATGGGATCGCTGGATGATGGTTCAACCTGTAAGCCTGACAACAAGAGCCTCTTCACCATGGACAAGGATGTTGATGTAGTTGAGAAAGGAACATTCTCTGTTTCTTCTTCTGTTGGTGATAGAAATATGATAAGGAATGGTGTGTATAAGAGCATAAAGACCGTGATTTTCTCAAATAAACTCAACTTGCTTATGCCCTTTGGGCCTCTAGCAATCCTTGTCCAAAATTTGAGTGGTCATAATGTAAGTCTTATTTATTTTATTTTATTTTTATATTCATTCTTTTACTACTTCGTATATCATCTTCTTCGATTTATGTTGTTGATTTTCTGAGGTGGATTGCAGGGGTGGGTCTTTTTGCTGAGCTTAATCGGTACAGCACCTTTGGCTCAGCGTTTGGGTTATATCACAGAGTAAGGACCCATATTCTATTTTGCAAGTTTCTGGTTTCATGTTCAACGGCTAATGTTGCTTTTATTGCTTTGATCTAGGCAGTTGGCCTTTTACACTGGACCTACAGGTATAGTTCATATGTAGATCAAACAGTATTTATGTTAGGTTGGTACCATCTGTAAAATTTTATGATCAAATTTCAGTGTGGAATGGTCTTTGATTTGTTGAAGCTATTGCAGTTGGGGGTCTTCTCAATGCTACATTTGGAAATGCAACAGAACTGATTGTATCAATTTATGCACTGAAAAGTGGTATGATACACGTTGTTCAGAGGTCATTATTAGGCTCTATTTTGTCAAACATGTTGCTTGTTCTTGGATGTTCATTTTTCTTTGGCGGGCTTGTATTGAAGCAGCAGGCTTTTACTAAGGTTGATTCGTTTTTCACTTACGATTATCTGTTCTTTATTTTTCTTCTCAAACCATCCTAAAGCTATATAAGTTGGCATGCAGGCAACTGCTACTGTAAATGCTGGACTGCTTTTGATGGCAGTCATGGCCCTGCTCCTCCCATCAGTTCTCCACAACACACATACTGAAGTGCATTTTGGGAAGTCAGAGCTGGCTCTTTCACGATTTAGCAGTTGTGTAATGCTTTTGGCCTATGCAGTCTCTCTGGTTTTCCAGTTAAAAACTCAAAAAGATCTCTATGTCCCCCTCAATGAGGTAGATCAACATTGTTAATCACTGCTAATAACCTATAATTTTAAAACACAGATCTGGTTTTTCCATATTCCTCTCTTTTCTTTCTAACCAGTGGTATGGAAAATGGTATAAAATCAGGAGGGAAACAAGAATGAGAACTCAGATGATCCTATTGAAGGTCCAGAAGTCTCTAAATGTGAAGCATTTATTTGGCTTGCAATCATTACACTCTGTACTGCTGTACTATCCGATTACCTTGTGGATGCCATGGAGGTAATATATGTTTGTTCACCTTTTCCTTGATTGATTTTATGGATGCTTGTTGATACTATAGTCCCCTGGTTATCTGAAATAGTTACTAACTAAGCTGAATCATGAAAAATCTTCTTTTCATCTTCCCTTATGCATGTAGGAGCCATTGGAAAATGTTAACATGAATGTTTACATCTGGCCGTGGGGTTAAATGCTGCTAGACATATTTAATTCTGAATGTATCTTGTTTTGGCACATGGATTCATTCATTCAAACAGATAGAGACATCTAGTTGAATCAATCTCAACATGAATCACTGAAACGAGCGGCAACTAATGTCTATGATCCATAGGCCATTGTCAATCATTGGTCAATTAATATTAAATATAAATTTTGAAATAAATCTATGAGAGTTTAAAACTTCTTTAAAGATGATTACTTCATAATTAGTCTATTCTATAAAATGTGGCCTGTCTAGAGTTGTTGCCTTTTCTTTCTTTTTTTTTATCAACAAAAGATAATATTATTAAGTTGGACTACAAGGGATACTCCTACCCGTACAAAAAGAGTAGATTATAAGGGTAGGGTGATACTATCAACACATTCATACAAAAGATTACCCCAAAATATAGATCATCCAAACAGTGATGGCATGACGTTCCTTATCCTACAACTGTTTTCATCCCCATGTGATCTTTTCTGGGCAACTAAGGCATCCTTTTTTATGCCATTTCGCAAGCGTGAGCAGGACATATATACCATAGCTCCTTAGAGTGGTTGCCTTTTCTATTTGTCATTTTCGTTTCCTCAGGGAGCATCTGTTGCATGGAACATGCCAATTGCCTTTGTCAGTACCATCTTGCCTCCTATTGGTGGAAACGCTGCAGCACTCACTAGTTGTATTATGTTTGCTATGAAGGACAAGCTAGTAAGTGTTTCACTGCATTAAATTCCTTTTTACTGCTATGTCTTTTTGTTTATTTAAGTATCTTTGCAGGACATGTCTTTAGGGGTGGCAATAGGATCATCAACTCAAATTTCCATGTTTGTGGTAGGTTTTGCACAATGGGTTGGCCCTTTTATCTTGATATATATCGTACATTTCCTAAGACCACAATTATTGAGTTCAATTGTGATTGGCACTAAGTTTTGTAGTGCAGGCCTGTGAACCATATGGTTCTCAAATTTATGCAATAAGTTACAGGTGAATCATTGGGATCAATTATAAGTACTCATTATTCAATACTCTTACATGATTTAGCTCTCTGAACTTCTCAGTCCTGTCAAAAATAAAATCATAATGTGGACATGTATATGATAGGAAGGTAGAAAGTAGCTCAAAGTTGCATTTTTATGCATTGTTGAGAGATTATGAGGAGAAATGCCCCTTGGATATGGCACAAATGGGGGTGATAACTTGTAGTTGATATCAGATTCATTTCTACAAAATTGGCCAACATTTTTGGAGATTTCGACAATGCTTCCCTGCCTTGAATTGTTGTTGCTTTGATGGTGGTGGTGCTTGTAGTGCTATAGGCATTTTCATTCTTGAGAGCTCTTGCATTTCTGTTGCGTGACTGATATGTCAGCCCTTTTATGGTTGCTTATATTCATTGTGTTTGTTCTAAAATCCATATTTTTGTTATATCGCAGCTTCCTTTCTGTGTGCTTATTGGCTGGATCACTGGGAGCCCAATGGATTTGAACTTTCAACTTTTTGAGACAGCAGCTTTGTTCATAACCATTGTAGTTGTTGCCCTTTTTCTTCTGGTTCGTATACCATGGGTGCTATTGCCAAGAAATTAAACCTATCTTGAAAATGAGGGGAAAAATGGTGAAAACAATATTAAACTGAAATGATTAAAATTGTTCACTAGAATCAGCTAGCAAAAATAGGTTTGAAAGACGATGGAGGACTGTTAATTCTTTACAAAAAAAACTGTTTGGGATTCTTTACTACTGCATTTATTTTGCTTCAACTTGTATTAATCCAGCATATATCATCTTTAATTATTGGTTGCAGGAAGGAACTTCTAATTACTTCAAAGGACTAATGCTTATTCTTTGCTATCTCATAGTTGCTGCAAGTTTCTATATGCATCAAGATTCACCAGGTCAGTTCTAAATGAAAGCTCCTAGTTTACCTGTCTGCTGAAATTTATCTACAAGTTCTACCATTTACTAGAAACGACAATGCTTGATAAATTCATTAAATTTTACAGATGATAAAGAAATGACAACATGATTGATGATGCAGTCAGATTGTTGAGTGGATTTTTGAATCTTAGAAAAGAAAAGTGATAGCTTTAGTCAAGATGCTGATGATGAAATTTTACATTTTGAAGAGATCCATTTTCCCAGCTTCTCTTTGTGCTTGTTCAGTTAAAATTGAGAGGTACTTTTGCTAATTCTGTTCCTTTCTCTTCATCTCATGCTAAACTGTCACCTGGCGGTTGTGTTTACTGTAAAAGAAGAGGTATTTTCAATTTCCCATTGTTTTTGTATTTAGCAGAAGTAATCACCATAGAATTAAAAGTCTGACATAAAACATCCATCCAACTCTCCAAGTGCTAGTTAAACTTGTCTTGATTGTTCTCCAAAACACGTCGCCACTTTCCTCCCTTGCACAAACCTTCAATTTGTTCTGCTAGACAGCCTAGACTAGTGTCCAGAGTTGTTCTGCAGATGAAGAACACCTTATTGTTGTTTGCTTTGGGGCTGGACGTTTCTTTGATGGAGGCAGCGGCCAGCATCTGCCAGGCAACTAAGCATGTGTATCTATCCATCACCTTAGGAATAGGAATACAGACATTAAAGTTCATACTATAAACCAATATATGATGAATGTCAAAGAAAGTCTTCATTATTTGCTGTGTTGTTTCATGGATAAGAAGTGGAAGCAACATGGCAATGATGATTTGGTGTTGGGGACATGTAATATGCTGTAAATTTGAATCTGTCCAGGACTCATTTTCCTTTTGTGTATTGAATTGACAGCATAGCTAATGGTTTTTGTCGGACAGAAGGTGTCTGATGTTGTGGAGCAATCATTCATTTCTCCCTCCAATTGTGTGGAACAGATGGGTAGAAAAGATAAGAGCTTTTGGCTTTTGGCTGAGTCCTTTTCAGTGTACAGGGGAAGTATTTTAAGAGCGAAAGCTACGGTACCTACCTACAGCCTACAGCAGCCTAACAATTGTCCACATTCTTCACTTTTGATCGAAGCTAAGAAAAAATAAGGGGTTTGTCTAAGTTGTTTTTAAGAATAATAATTATTATATTTTTTATATTAATTATTATTAAAAATATAAAAATTATCATTAATTTTATCATTAATTAGTGTCATGTGAATAGTTTTAATTAAATATTTATTTAAATAAAAATTAATTTTGATTTTTTAATAATAATTAATAAAATAATTATTATTATACTTCTAATTTATATTATATTGTAATGTACAAATTAAAAATATTCAAAAATAAATACTAGTAAAATTGTGAAGCTGCCCTCCCTTGACCTTACGAAAAGTAAAGGGAAAAGGCATTCTGTTCCATTATAACTCAATAATTGGCAATCAAATCGAGACACTGTCGTGGTTGAGGGCATGTTGTTAATGGTTGCAAAATCAGATCCGGCAATTGCTCTTTGAAATTTCTTGGAATTTATTTCTTCCCACATGGTAAACTAGAATTAAAAGTGTATTAGATCTGAACGAAATGAAAATTAGGAGGGAGATAAACTTTTTAACTAATCATTTATTTTGTAATATTATTTATTAATATTATAATTTAATTAATAAAAAAAATCCACTCATCTCTTTATTATTTCTCTCAAATAAAATATATTCTAATAATTTATTTATCAGTATCTAAAAATGTAATTTTTTTTATTTTTAATTAATTTAAACATAGTTTATTAGTTTTAATTAATATTTCATATATTTTTAGACATTAAAAAACTAAAGAAAAAACTTATTCGTTATAGCATAGTATAATCTAATATAATCATTTTATTTAAATTTAGTAAACTTTGATTTTTATTTGCGATATTTAAATTTAGTTATTTTTTTTTTCTTTTTTAGGATATCATATAAAATATTTATTTTTATTTTAAAAAGATAATCACAATATATATTAAATAAAATTTTTTATTTAAGTAATATTTAATTAAAATATATATAATTTTATTAATAAATTATTATATTTTTATTTTATTAAATAAAAAATTAAATCTATTAAAAATATTAAAGTAACATTTACAAACTAAGTCTTAATCTATATAACGTAAAAAAGCAACCTTTTTAAAGCCCTATTATGACCAATAAAGTAGAGGTTGTTCATTCTTATATATTCAAATCTGACTTATATAAACTTAAACAAAAATAAATGAGTCCAAAAGAAACTCATACTCAATTTTAATACACGTAATTAATTTTTCTTTCTCTTGTAAAAACAAATAAATTTAGGACAAACAATTTCTATTACACATTCGATAAGAGATTGATCATTTCAAATCGGGAAAAGCAAACTTTTATCTAAATTAATGTAACAGAAAATCCAGATTAAGCAACAAAAATCCTATCTTTCTTGATTGGAGATATGTATGGATATACCGTATATAGTAATGGAAATAAAAAAAATGGGTTTCTTTATGAGAGCGGTTTCCATAAGAAGAATCTGAGTGTATGATAGGTTGGCCAGCAGTATCCGACATAAAAAAATCTTTTCTTTCTTTTTTTATTTTTTTTATTTTGGGTCTCAGACGAAAAAAAAAAATCAAAGGAAGGAAATTTCCTCGAAAGTGCAAGTATCTTTTCTTCGCCATTCCGCCATTCAATTCCAAATATTTTTATTCAACCAGACCTCTGATCCCATCCGGCACAGCATTGTACATGCCTTGCTCAAATTCTTTTCTTAAGAATATTACACTTTCTATTTTCTCCATTTTTTATGTTTGTTTATTTATTTTTTAATCTTTGTTTCTGTTCTTAGACTTGAAAATTAGCAAAAAATAACAAGACTGCTGTTCTGGGTTGAACGAGGAAGACGGAGAATCGAAAGTACCAAACTGTCAAGACTTGTTGTTGTACGGGCCTCACTGCCATTGAAATTTCCTTTTGGCTAAGAAACGTATCCATTTTCTTTCCTTTTAATGTGGGGTTTGATTCATTCCCAGTTGACGCGTTGCCAGAATTCACCTAAAAAGGTTTGTTCTTTCTCCAGATCTGATTATGTTAATAGATACCCAGTTTCGATCCTTTTTGTTGTTGTTTTTCTTGTTATGGGTTTATGGGTATTGGCATCGGGGTCAATCCTTTATTAGGGTTTTTTTTTTTTTTTTTTTTTGGCTTGGAATTTGGAACCGTTTGGGATGGATTTTGAATCCCTTTTGCGAATTTCTCCAAGTCCAGATTCAGTTTTGTGATCAGGTTCCTCATTCTTCGTTTTGTTATTTAGAAATAATTGTTAGGTGGTTTCCTGTAAAATGAATATTAAAGATGGGATCTTGATTTGAAGTTCCATTGCTCTCATGGTTTATGCGTTGCTTGTTAGGTATGGCAGCTAATGTTTATTCTTTATTTCTTTTTTACTATTCCGCGTTCAGTTCCGACTTGCGGCCGTCCATTTAAATTGAGGATAAAAACCTCCCCTGTTTTTGTGATGCTCTTTTTGTTCATGGGTGTCGCCAACTTATTCTGATTTTAATACTTGAAGATGGATTACAAGCTACAAATGGTCGGGGTTCAACCCCACCTTGAAGTAAGTTCAAGATATGCCATTTCGTTAAGGTCTTGAACGGTTTGATTCTAATGGAAACATGCTCAATATATATGTATATATCAATCAGATGGGATCGCTACATGATCAGTCCGTACATGAATTTGACGAAGAAAGCCTCTTTCCCCCGCAAACAGATGATCAAAAGACACCTTCTGTCAATTCAGTTGAACTTGGAGCACTTTCTGGTAGTTTTCCAGTTGGTGGTAGTAAAATAATAAGGAATGGAGTATGTAGGAGCATAAAGACTGTAGTTTTCTCAAACAAACTCAACTTGCTTATGCCTTTCGGGCCTCTGGCAATCCTGGTTCATAAATTGAGCGGTCATAATGTGAGTTCTAGTGGTCTGTTACTCTTTATCTTACCAGGCATGGTGCGTTTGATATGTGCTTACTGATGCAGAGGTTGATTACAGGGTTGGGTCTTCTTTCTAAGCTTATTGGGTATAACACCCTTGGCTGAGCGTTTGGGTTATGCCACAGAGTACGGAATCATAGTTTTTTTTATCAAGTTTCTCTTTTGATAAGACTCATCATTTTTGTTAACTGACATTTCTTTTTATTGCTCTGATTCAGGCAGCTGGCATTTTTCACTGGGCCTACAGGTATCGTCTTAGAAGATCTTAATCTTAATGCATTTCTTATTGATATTATTAACTGGAAGGAAACTATTTCCTTTATGAAAGCTTGCCATAGTTCTTGCACTGTCTTGTATGCTATGTGTGCAATTAAGTGGTTGTTCATTTCGGAAAACAGCATCTCTGAAACATTCATGGTCACTTTCTTCAGAATCTACTTCAACATTACTCCTATAATCTATAAATTTAGCAATTTACTCTCTTCAATGATCTTTATACGTTGAGCAATATGCAGTTGGGGCTCTGCTAAATGCTACGTTTGGAAATGCAACGGAAATGATTATATCGATTTATGCACTGAAAAATGGGATGATGCGCGTTGTGCAGCTGTCATTGTTAGGCTCAATTTTGTCAAACATGTTGCTGGTTCTTGGATGTGCTTTCTTCTGTGGTGGTCTTGTTTTTCATAGAAAGGAGCAGGAATTTAACAAGGTAGGTATCTCTCAGTACCTCCTGATTTTCTTTGTTCTCTTTATGCTTCTCTCCCTTTATTTGAAAGCTGAGCTAAGCGGACATGCAGGCAACAGCAGTTGTGAATTCAGGACTGCTGTTGATGGCAGTCATGGGCTTGCTGTTTCCAGCAGTCCTTCACTATACTCACACTGAGGTGCATGCTGGGAAGTCAGAGTTGGCTCTTTCGAGATTCAGCAGTTGTATCATGCTTGTGGCCTATGTTGCCTATCTTGTTTTCCAGTTAAAGAGTCCAAAAGACACCTATGTTCCCATTAATCAGGTTGGTTGTTGGTTGTTGTTTGCTGTCATTTTTTACTTACTCAATCTTGACTCTCTCCCTCTCTATATATGTATGTGGTATAAAATAATGAAGGGCTGTACGAAATGTTATGAAATCAGGAAGTCAGTCAGAATGGGGAGAATGTGGATAATGATGAAGATGATGGTGAGGCTCCAGAGATATCTAAATGGGAATCAGTGATTTGGCTTGCAATTATGACAGCTTGGATTTCAATCCTATCTGAGTATCTGGTTGATGCCATAAAGGTAATATTTAGTACCCTTTCTTCTTTTTGTTAGATATAAATTTTAGCAAAAAATATTGACATCCAGTGTCACCTTTTTAATTCATGAGGATCATTTTTTTTTTCTTTCCTTTCTGCTTTTCCGAATCTTTATTATGTCTTGAATTAAGTGGTGAGTTAATCATGTATGAATTCAACTTAGTTTCGTTATCATGTTTTTTAGGGAACATCTGATGCATGGGACATACCAATTGCCTTTATTAGCGTTATCTTGCTCCCAATTGTTGGGAATGCTGCAGAGCATGCTAGTGCTATCATGTTTGCCATGAAAGACAAGCTTGTATGTAATTTTCCTAGCTCTCGTTCTTTCTTTCTATAGCATACTATGGGATACTAATTATTATTATTATTATTATTTTTTTTTTTGCAGGACATATCATTGGGAGTTGCAATAGGTTCTTCAACACAGATATCTATGTTTGGTGTAGGTTTTTTGCATTAGTAGTAGCCCCTTTTGCCCCAATATCTTTTCCCACATTTATATTTTTGTTATCAATGTCTGTTGAGTTGAGTGGTCATGATAGATATTCATCGTCGTAGTTAGTCATGTATGCTTGAAACAATTATGTGCAAGATGGCGGTAAAGCTACTCTTCTCTAAATTAAGACAACTCTTGAATCCTTGATGTGCAAGTTCTTTACCTTGCGTGTATTCTGACGTTTGTATTATGCTGTAACTGCAGATTCCTTTCTGTGTGGTTATTGGGTGGATGATGGGACGCCAAATGGACTTGAACTTCCAACTTTTTGAGACAGCAACCCTCTTCATAACTGTTATTGTAGTAGCTTTCTTTCTGCAGGTCTGTGGGGAACAAATCATCTATTCTTTCTATCAGTGGGTGATGTTACAATCTGCACAGGGACAAAACTTTTGAAAATGTGTGAACCTTAATTGTTTTTTTGGGTGCAGGAAGGAACTTCAAATTACTTCAAAGGACTAATGCTTATTCTTTGCTATCTCATAGTTGCTGCAAGTTTCTTTGTACATGAAGATCCTACTGGTCTGTTGTCAATTACCTGCCTGGAATTTGTGTTTCTAGTTTGATAGTTGTCTTGTCAGTATTTAAGACATGAATGTTCTGAATGAAATTGTGCAGATAAGAATTAAACGGGAACATAACCAACAAAGGAAGGAGCAGTGAAATGGAGTGGATTTTTGAACCAAAGAGAAGAAAAAGGTTATTGGTTGGAGCACATGCTGCTGCTGTATATATTTTCATTCGTTCCTAGACTAGATGGCAGAGAATTGTCCATTTATCTGGTTGGGCTTGTTCAGTTGGTATTGCTGAATAGGTATCACAGTCGTTGTCACCTTTGGTGGAAAACTTTGATTTAAAATTTAATGGCGAATTGGTGAAACTGTATACATTAGAAAAATGTTAAGTGTTTTGGTTTTGATAGCTATGTAATGGCAATTGTTTTGTGTACAACTGCTTTTGACCTCTATTCATTGTGGGATTGGAACTGCACTGCATTGCATTGCATGAAATGCAACAAAGAAAGAAATTCTCTATTGGTAACTTTTTCCATTACGTTGCATCGAGAATATTCTCCTCTGAACATGAAAGCATTTATTTATTAGTCAATTTGAAGGCAGAAATTTATAGTCTAAAAAGGCCGGCCCGCTCAAGTAAGCATGGGAAACAATCCACTCGTGGGTTGGAGAAGACATATGATTGTGCGCAAGAACAGGAAAAAGAAATCTGCAAATACGTGCAACAAGCAAGGGAACAATGTTGTAGGGGTGGTTTTGTGTGAGCAAAGCGGAAAGCCACCCACCCAAGACCCAGATGCAGTCAAGAAGAGAGAAGGGGAGAGAGAGAGGGAGGAGTTGACCACTCCCCATTTGGGTGAGCTACCGGCCACTCTCTCACACGCTCAATGGCGTTGAATTCTTTAATAAAACCATGCACCTTCCATGCATCCCCCAATTATATAACCTCTTCCCTTTTTCTTAATTTTATTCACTCTCTTTTTACTCTGCTGCCCCTCTATTTGTTTTTACATACATTAATTCTTTTCTTAACAAATTGTTAAGGCTCAAGGGGAAAAAAGGAGACATGGGTCGAATTCCTTGTTGTGAGAAGGACACTGTGAAGAGGGGACAATGGACTCCTGAGGAAGACAATAAGCTCTCCTCTTACATTGCCCAACATGGCACCCGTAACTGGCGACTCATTCCCAAGAACGCCGGTACCTCTTCTCTTCCCTCTCTCTCACTCCTTTACTACTCCACTAATTAATTAAGTCCTATCACAACCGACACACCACTTATCTAAAACTTTCTTAATTTCCTACTAGGTCTCCAAAGGTGTGGGAAGAGTTGTCGGCTCAGGTGGACTAATTACCTCCGCCCCGACCTTAAACATGGCCAATTCTCTGATGCAGAGGAGCAGACTATTGTCAAACTTCACTCTGTTCTCGGCAACAGGTATGGTGTTGTTCGAGGCCTCCTCTAATAGAAGATAGATACACTCTAAAGATACCATTTTGCTTCTCATTTATCAATTGACTTCTACATGGGAGTGCCTCCCTCCCTGCAGGTGGTCACTGATTGCAGCTCAGCTACCTGGCCGGACTGACAATGACGTTAAGAATCACTGGAACACTAAGCTAAAGAAGAAGCTTTCTGGCATGGGGATTGATCCAGTCACCCACAAGCCTTTCTCTCACCTCATGGCTGAGATAGCCACCACATTGGCTCCACCACAGGTGGCTCATCTGGCCGAAGCAGCGTTGGGCTGCTTCAAGGATGAGATGCTCCACCTCCTCACAAAGAAACGTGTCGAATTCCAGCTCCACCAACCCAACACAGCAGTAGGAACCACCACTGTCCCTTACATCAGCAGTAAACATGAGGAAAAAGATGATACAGTTGACAAGATCAAGCTTAACTTATCAAGGGCAATACAGGAAACTGATTCGTTACCCTCGGGTAAGCCATGGGACAATGCCGGCTTAACCTCTGCTAACCTTGCAGGGGGCGGAAGTATTTTCCCATCAACCCTTTCTGGATACCAGTATGGCACAACATCTTTTGGCAACGAAGGGGCCGTATCACCATGGGATCAGAGTTTGTGCACTGGTAGCACGTGCACAGCAGGGGAACAAGGAAGGTTGCATGAAAAATTAGAGGATGAAAATGGTGAGGAATCCGATGGGGGAAAAGACATTAGGAATATGTCCAGCATATTCAATACTGAATGTGTCCTATGGGATATACCGTCTGATGATCTTATAAATCCTATGTAGTTTAAGGAGGCTTCCAAAATAAAGGTTATGGAGGCAAGCATCCTTACTTCATGGGCAATAATAAGCTTCTTATGACAAATTTATAACAGGCATGTGTGTATAATGTATCAATAATAATAATAACAGGTAATGCTTAAATAAAACTCATATCATGAATAATGGTTAATCACAATGTTTTGAGTAAAACCAATAAATGAAAATGATAATTTTCTCACTCCTACTACTACCACCGCTCATGTTTCTGTATGATCTTCTATCTCACAGGGAGAGAAGTATACTTCAAGCAAAATACGATGACGACGAAGAAGTATCTGCCAGAACCTGCAAGCATTAATTAGACCAATGTAAGACAGAAGTAGTCAAAATAGGAAATCTCTTGCAACTTGGAAGTTAGATGGTATATGGATACCTCAAGCTGCTCTTCAGTGAAAGAATCTTTTTGAAAATTCCATGTATCTGCATGAGTGCGTCGGAACTCAGCAACTGCTTTTGTCACCGTCGATTTCACAGGTGATGGCTCCCCACAAAAACGTGCCAGTAACGTAACGTGATCGGGCAGCCAACTGAAAAGGGAAAATAAACCGCTCATTAGGATGAAAAATTACAGTAAAATTATCTAGAACATAAATTAACACTTACCTTGGCATGTCATATGGAACTGATAACACAGAAGCTGCCAAGGCAAGCACTGCACCATGTACAGATGCTATGGGCTGACCCGCGGTTGTACTCCTGCATCCATAACGTAAAGATCTTCAGAATCAGCATATACCATGTTATGCATACCAGCTAAATGTCCATGCTGCTATAGCATGGAAAGCTCTTGTGATACACATATGCCTCCTTTCAAAATAAATAAAGAAAATACATAAATAGAATCTGCGCCTGCATTAATTTAGTCAATAGTTGACAAAATGAAAAATTACTAACAAAAATCTCATGTGGAATGTAGCATATAGTTTCCATCCAAGCTGAAGAAATGCTCATTGGGCCTGCCTAGAGTTTACATGTAACTTTGCTCATTTTAGACAAAAAGAAGTAAATGAGACAATAAAGTGCCTTCCTTTTTCTTATAGGGAAGCCAAGCCGTTTGCCTTAGATTTAAAAATTCCTCATGACTTCACAAAAAAGTGACATTGATGATTCCATGTGTATTGAAAAAACCAGACAGGCAAAGGCATGTCTAGTCCTCACCATAAGCAATAATACCTACTTTTATTAGCATTTCTCTACTTCCAAGTTATATTAAACAAAGACTTACTAATATAAAAGTGTCCATTCAATCAACAATGAAAGAAAACAAGAGATATGGAAACAACCTCTGTTTTCTCCTCCTCTTAATAGCATTTGCCTCCGTGTAAGCTCTTTCACGGAATTCCCTAGCTAAATCTCCATCCCCACCCTTCATCAGGCCTGCTAGAACCGCGGCTGCATGCTCTCTTACCTGAGCAAAATGTAGCAGTTTCAATTGAAAGGCATAATATCTCATTTCTTACATAAGGATTGTAATTCTTCAAAAGCCTTCAAAAGATAAATCCAACATAATTGATAGAAGAATGACCTTGGGACCGAACTACTGCAAGTGTTTTGTACTTTTCTCCTAGGAATTAAACTTAATTGTTTCTCAAAAATCATTTACACCAACAATTCTACTAATTTGATGAAAAGAATCACCAGGAACTTGCCTCCACTTGGCTGTCTTGGAGCAGCTTCTTCACTGTTTTCCAGATTTTTTGTTTATCAGCATTTGATAGAATGAAAGTGTGCCTGTTATCAGAAACCATACAATTTTAGCATCTAAACCATGAAAAGTGATTTCTCAACCTAGTGGCAGAAGATGGCCATGTACCAAGTGTATTATCAAGAAAAATCTATATACAAGAATCTCAAAGGATTCTGATTCATAAATGCATTATACCTGAACATAAAAGTTCGTAGATATGTAAGGGTTGCTGATCTGGTTCGCCAGTTAGAATCATTTGCAGATGAAAGAATAACAGAAACAGCCTGCTGGAGATGGGGTCCCCATAAAACCCTCCATTTTAGCAATTCAAAAGCTGCCTTTGCCAATGTTGACAGATCTTTATTTGATGTTTCCTTCAAAAAAATACCAATAGCATTCTCAGATATAGAAGTCAAGATGGTTAAGAAGACTCAATCCAAAGGCAAGTTAACTGCTAGAAGAAACAGACACACCAAGGGGGGGACGGGGTTGGGATCAGCATTTCCAATGGAGTATGAAATAAATAGACAACAGAGAAAAATAGACTTTTGAAATGGTTATAATTAACATAATCAATCAAAAGTAACATTTATTTGACATCTTCTTTCAGAATATTATCTCAGATATTATGGTCATTTTCACTTTCTTCATAATGACCTCAATCTTTTTCATATGGTTAACTAAGCCCAATTACTACGTAGGATAACTGAACAATCAGATACAAAGTGCCTTTCATAAAAAATAAAAAATCAGATACAAAGCAATGGAGAACAATATGAAACAAGAGAATCCAGCACCCAAGTAGCAATCTTAGAGAAAAAGAGGGAGGGGAGGGGGTTTGTACTCCACACACCTGCAAGGAAATTACAGGATAAAGGAGCCCAACAATTACATCAAGCAAATATGAAGATCTACCAGACTTCAAGGCTGAGATGATAAAGTGAAATAACTGCAAAAGTTAGGAAAAATAAATTTATCAGAGATAAGAAGATTTTATTGAGAATAATTCTTAAAAAGATTAATAAGAGACTATCAAATAGTATTCAAATTGATACCGTTTCCATCCATTTGACATCATCTTGTGAATCACCATTTTGATATCCATTTGGAGTATCTGCATCTGCTGATGGATTTAAAATGTCACACAAACTGGAGTTCTGAATGTTCACAACAAGTTCAGATGCTCTTTCTGTTAGTAATTGGACCCAATTTTCCTCCTTAAGCTGGTTATCAACGTCAGTGATCTCCCTCTCATGTGAATGGTATTGCACAGATGACATATAAAGCCGAATGTTAGAGCACAAAACAGACAGGGTAACCCCAATTGCTTCTCTTACCTGTTCAACAAAATATGTTTGAATGAAAAACATGATCAAGAGAACAGTTTCAAATTTCACCCGTATTTACGGGGACCATAATTACATTCTCTAAACCAATAACTGCACAAGACATTCCTTTCTATTCTTTTGGAATTAGTCAAAGCTTAAAAATAAAGAGAGAATTTTTGTTAAAACTTTAATTTTGAAGGAAAAACATTTACAACTTCTCAAATCAGCCAACTACCCAAGCAACGGAAGGGCACAATTTAGAAATCTTCTCCTTTTGCATCAATATAACAGAGAAAAGGAGAGAAATGGAGACAGAAACCAGGATCACATGCTTGCCCACACAACAAATTGTATTGAGCGTGAGCAAATATGTAGTTAAAGGGCATGCTTACTTGGGCTGATGAATGGCACATGTTACTCAGCAATTCATTCAGAAGTTCCTTGTGAAGTTGGATCTCAGTTAGTGGCATTTTCTGCGGGGATATTTCTATGAGTGCCGCTGAAATAAAAGCATAGCGCCTTGCAACTATGCTGCTGGTTACTGTTGGAGGTAAAGGCGTCAACAAACACTTCAATATTTGTTTCCTCAGAAGAGGAATTTTTGTTCCATGCTTTCCTTTTCCTGTAACTGCATACCGTATGCAAGCTACCCACTCAGGTGTTGATTCCACTGATTGAGCAAGAATTACATTCTGCAACTGGACCATCATCCAGCTGTCCCATTCCTCCAAAAGCCCATTAACATCAGAATGCAAAACTCCAGCCAAAGCCTCAGCAGCAACACACTGTTTAGCCCTTTCCTTGGCCTTAGCAAACTCCTCCAGTGCACTTTTAAGTGCTAATAAAACAGGTACACCACATTCTTGTATTAGCCGCTTAAATATCCTTGCAAAGTTTGAGTAGAATGTATCACTTCCTAATAATGAGATCCAACTAGGAGTGCGTGGCCATGAAGCAGAAAAGTCAAAATAAAAACGGGTGATTGATTTGTCAGCCAGGCTTTGAAAGGAAGTGTTTCCATGATTTCCTCTAGAAGATGCGCCATCAGCATCAGTGATTATATGAACATGAGACAGACTATTCAAGGTCTCACTAAAAAATCCCTCTTCCTGAAAAATTTCTCTTAATGCTCCTTCAAGGGATGACTTTGTATTTTCTTGCAAATTTTCAGAAAACATAGGTTGATCATCAGATGACATCTTATAAGGTGAATCTTTCAATAGTATATTTAGAGCTGAGATTGCAAGTATCCTTGTCTGGGGAAGTTGACTCTTCAAATTTTTTAAGAAGTGACCTGGTCAGGCATCAAATGACAACATTAATGATGCAGATTTTAAATGCTGTATGCAGCAACTATTCATGGAAATATTGCTGGTAGACTACAAAGGCACACTTGTGGACCAAGAAAAACGCTTACCAGCAGTTTCACTCAGGATTGTTGAAGAGAAGTTTGGATCATTCTGGCATGCCATGGCCAACAAGAGCAGAACTCTGTTAGCCATCAGGTTATACCTGTAAAATAAAACAAAAGATATTGAGCCCTTGTATTCCATAACACTGAATTTCAAGTCTAGCAGATTTACAATTTCTCAAAATACACATCTAAATTCAATCTTTATTCTTTGCACATTTGGAACTGCTCACCAAAGTCAAATGCCTAATAATCCATATGCAATGTGCTCACTAAATAGGTCAAAATAGCACACAACAACAAAAAATTTTTATGTATCAAGCAGCCAAATGGTTAGATATTTACCGCCAATGCAAACTAGTAGAATCAAAACTTAGAGAACCAATCTGAGAAACCAAATTCATAAAATCCAGTCCATCTGGACGATTATCCACAGTCCTTATCATGCTTCTTGACACTCCCGCAAAGTGGATGTTATATTTGACAAAAAGCTGCTGACCAAACAAATTATTAGAACAAAGCCCAAAAATAATAATAATAATAACTAAAATGTTGGCCAAAAAGATTATTAAAAAATCCAACTCAAAAGTAGAGCCTCCTTATTGAAACATGAAAACTTACCTCATTGATTGCTTTTTGGGCTTTCAGCGTTTCATGATGGGAGCTACAAATTGGATAAGGATTAGACAAAATCAACAGGGTGTAATTTTGTGAATTAATTAAACTTTAAAAATAAAACCAACCAAAATTGGCAATGGATGAAACTCGGATCACCTTGAAAGAATACCAAGAAGAAATGAAGAGAATGCCTTTGGATCCTGAAATAAGAGAAAAGATGTAAGAAAAGACAACCCTTTTTTATCTGATTAGACCAACTTCAGGTTCAGTGATTACCGTTGTTAAATGCTTGAGAACTGTCTGTGTTGAAAGCACAGCACAAGAGCCGAGGACCTCATATTCTGGTGAACTGGGGTTTCTCAAGTTCTCGGTAAGAGAGAGCACACACTTTGAAATCAAAGATGGCCACCTCTTGATTATCTTCAACAGAGATTTTCCAGCAAGTCTGGAAACAAGCAAACAGGCCATATCAGATATGAAAAATATACATATTTTAGCATACATATGCTGGATCCAAACCTAACCAAAAAAATTCATTGGATTCAAGTACTACCTCCAGTTCATTTTAGTTGTCTCTTTTACTTTTCCACAAAGTTTAGGTAATTCTTTTATACAGCATATGAATGACAATTAAAATTTTTTCCTATACTTAGTCCTTGTTGAGTATTTTTTTATGAAAAAATTTTAATTATCATTCATATGAGATATAAAAGCATTACCTAAAGTTGTGTGCAAAAAGTAAAAAGGACAACTAAAATAGACTGGAGGTAGTAATAAATATCATCCATGATCCAAAACTAACCCCCTAAAAAAAGTATCATTGGTTTTGACCTATAAATTCAGCCCAAGTCAGGAATGGTAACTTCCAAAGTATGATCATTAAACACTCACCTCTAAAACTGCACCTCAAAATCAGCATCAAATTTAGAATTCAGGACATTGACTAGAATAATATCACTTCCATGCATAAGGCACCAATATGGTGGCCTTAATCATCTTAAAACATGTATGGATACATTATGTTCTTCTTGCAGTATTAAAGTTAGATTCACTTTAATGAATAACATGGAGAAAGAAACTTTATATAGGTTCCATCATGCAATAGAGATCAAAAACCAGGTACTCACATGCGGACAGTTTCATAGCTATGCAGGGAGAGCTTTAGAAGATCATCCATCAGGAGAGTTACATGGTCTGATGGAGAGAAGTTTCCACTCGTACGAAACAAATGATAAGATGATTGTGATGATCTCCATGTACTGTGCATGTATGCCTTGTCGATAAGTGCCCACCTAGGCCTAGAATGCAAGATTATGTTCAGAATTAAATGCAAAGATCATTGTTCTGTAATCAGTATTCAACTAAAAGAGACATCAGGATAAGTCTTTTAACCTCCTTTTTCCTTTAGAATGGGAAGACACAATAAAATTTACTGGAGGTTCTATAATGGCAGCAGATTCCAACTTCCAAGCCTGCTTATGATTTGACCACTCATCATATTCCAAAATTCCTAAATGACATGGAGGCAGAAGAGCGGATGATGTCAAGAAGGTGAGTCATAATGTGACAGAAAAAATATACACTAAATAAAATTAACAAATTAGTAATGGCATCTCCCACAACTTCAAGCAATTTATTCCACGAGGATGCAGTGTTCATTACCATAGTTTCCCAGATCATCCATGATACGTATGATGAGAATAAATAGGATGCTGTCATCTGACTTTTCCTCTAATAAGTATCTACAAATATATCAAAAATTGATAATATTAAGCAAAACTAACAGTCCAATATTGAACAAACAATATTGTGGGGAATGTAGAAAATGGAATATTACTTGCAGGCCACATGCATAACGTCAGCAGCCTTTTCCCGAAGTTGGATACTGCCAACACTTGCACCTGTAGCTCCAGCAATTAAAAAGGAAGTATGACTAGAATCTTCAATCATGCCATTTCTTGAAGATGGACAGAAATCAGGCAAGCAAGATAGAACGCCTTGCAGTACAGAATCAATACGTAAAAGAGTCACTTTCAAGTGCTCTTTCTCATTGCCTGCATTTGAATAGTATTTAAATGTGAAAGGATATAATTGTATATTAGAAAAAAAAATGCACACTTTCAATGACTATAAGGAAAAGTTAACCACTAAACTAAGAAGTTTAAAAGATTATGCTGAATTTAGAATCTAAATAAGTACCATATGTAGATGTTCATGACAAACTTCATAAATTGCAAAAATTCTTGAAGAGTTAACTAATAGTACCAGTCTTCTATGTCATTAATTATCTAAGCCCCTTAAACTCAAATGTTCAGCCACCACTAAATGTCTACAGAGGAAAAAAACTACAGCCATTACCTGGGTCAGAGTGGATCTTGTTTTGACATATTCTTAAAAGATCATCTAAAGCTGATTCAAAATGGAGAATCAAAAGTTCATTAGCAAATTGAACTTCTTCATCACTTGGAATATGCCACTTGGGACCTGTCAATGGTGCAGAATCAGAAAAATCTTTTGGGCTGATCCATTCCTCTAATGCAGCAGCAGCAGGGTGATGCAACGTGCATCTAAAAACCAGAAGTTGCATTTTTATATTCATAGACAAATCATAGATAAAATATAATTAACCACAACTTTGCAAGCCAACGAATGAAGCAAACATACTTGTATTGATCAATAGGATAATAAAGGATAAGGCTTCCAAGTAGAGACCGAAGAAGGTGATCACCGGCTCCGTTAACCTGTCATGAGAAAATAGAAAATTAAAAACCAAAGGAGGAGAAAATAATCAAGAAACTTGGTGCATAGTTGGACAAGATATTTGTATAACATGTACAAAAGGACAATTGCTGTGAGAAAATAAATAAATAAATAAATAAAAGAGAACAAAAACCTTCCAAGAGGGGGAATCAAATGCAGAAACAATTGCTTCCTTGAATTGATCCTGGCAACGAAGCAGTGCAGGACCACCATAGCTGATGGCAACTGATAATATTTTCAATTGATAATCAATTGCAGTTTCAAGAGCTGGAGAGAGAGAGGGTTTTGCCTAACAAGAAATAAAAAGTTGGAAAACAGAAATCAACATCTAATACAGGGATCTGGAAGTAATGCAGAAGTTAATCAAGAGCACCATTCACAAGCAAAGAAACCTTGGTTGAAACTGAAGCATCCAGCAGTCCTCTCCCTCCAAATCCAGTAACAGGCGTTCCTTTCAAAGAGGACATAGCAGACAATAAAATTGGCTCAACAAGGTGAACAACTGCCTCTTCAGGATTTGAGTGAACACAGGCACAACAAAGTAGCCCAACCTCTGCGATTGCCCCAGGAAGAATATTTGACCTCACAAACTTTGAAATTTTCTTCAAAGCCTGTTAATGATTGAAAATAAAGAAAGTTCTTTATAAAATGATGTCCCAAACAAAATAGGTGAACCTCACATTCAAAGCTAAAAGAAAAACCTGATTATATAGTGATTTTGAAAGCCTCCCAAGCAAGATTTCAAGCATGCAATAGTAGTAAGGACCATCCTCCACCAGAAATGTTCCAGATGTTGCCGAAGAAGGGAGACCTTCATTCCTGTAAAACCAGCAATCAATACAAAGTAAAAATCTTTGATGGGCGAAGATATTCGTTTGATATCCTCCTATTGGACTATTTAAAAGCAAAAGGAGGATATGATAAAATCAATCCAAGCTGATGTGCATTTCTGCATTATACATAATGTGATACAAGAGAAGACATTATTACTTACACAACACTGTTTGGTTCCAAATGTTGAAGTAAAGAAAATAGGCGGCACAGAAATTCATCCAGCCATTCAGAAAAGCGGATCATGGGCATGAATGTCAACTCATCATCCAGGATAGCCATCTGCAATTATAAGTTAATCAGAAACAAAGACACTTTGTATTTCCATGGGATACCTGCATTTGAGGCAACTTTGAAATGGATAGCAGGCACTTAGAGCTTACATTGGAAAATATGGAACCAATCAACTGCAACGTCGCCAAGGTTTTAGGAGGATCATTTGCATCCATACCAAGTAGTGCATTTGACAATGAAATCATAAGCAAATCAAGATAAACATCATCACCGCTACCACCACCAAGTTCTGCAGGCTTATCAGGAGTTGATAGCGATGTGAAGAAAAGAGAACGCCCAGCAAATGCCACTGACATCACAGCAGTTTTCAACTGGTGTGTGGCAGTCATCTGCCTAGACACAATAGTTGATAAACAGAAGTTAAAAGATGAAAGAAACATGCTTTAATGAGAAGAGAGCTCTACAACCCATCAGGAAAATGTACTAAAAAGAAAAAGCAATAGTTGGTACTGGAAAACTATTATAATCAACAAAAACATCAATGCTACTAACATAGATATCTGCACACAAAATTACTAACCGTCTCCAAGGCCATTTGGAATCGAGATGCTAGAAATGGAAGAACCAAAGAAGGCTCCACATAGGATAAGATTGACGTTGCTGCAGCAACAGTTTCTGAAAGATGTTCATTTTTGCTATATTGACCACGATCAATTAGCCTTAGCATCACTTTGATAAAAGCACTCCTTTCTGATTTTGCTAGATAAAGTTCAGCCAGCCTATTGTTATCAGTGTTCCTGCAATCAGTGAATTTATAAATAGGGTATACACTGAAGCAAATAAATGACTAATGTATATCACAAGAAGATCCATACTGCTGCTCGTGTTGTAACCGCTTTTGGAATGTAATCACCAAATAAAACAAGAACCGCTCTAATGAATAAGTCCAGCGACCGCCATTGGAAGGATGGTAATATCTAAAAAACCAACAACAACCTAAGAACCAACAAATCAACACATATAGCTTGAAAACAATAATGTCATTGAAAATGTTGGTAAACAAACTGTTCTAAGAGGTTGACCAATTTCTCGAAGTGCTCTTGTGCTGAACTACTAGGTTTTAGTAAATACACCTGCAAATATGACAGTAACACACAGCACAAAAGATCTTATTAGGCACAATATTTGGAACCAATTAAAGAACAAAGCAAAAGACAGCCGATAGCATATTTGTCTTACAATTGATTTTGCAATGGCCTTTGCGGGTGTTACTGTTTTGTTGGAAAACAAGAACCTCGTATTTCTAGGAACATCAACAGAAAAAGGATATGATCCACTTCCATTTGCCACAGGAACCTGGCATTTTCAAACATAAGAAAGTAATTAGCATGATAAAACTGAAACACTTATAGAAGAGTAACAAAAGCAATTAGGACATCAGTTCCAAAGAGAACAAAAAAAACAAGGAAAAGGCGTTTGGGGACAGAGAGAGAAAAATCAAAAGGAAATCAAGCAGAAATGACAACTTATGCATCTTAGTGACGTTTTCATGCACAATCCCAAGGACTAATTGATTGAAAAATTAATGGTTTTCCCTGACTACTGTTTTTTACTTGTAGACTCTCAAATAAGATTCATTAGACAACAATTTGAAATGTAGAAATTAAATGAAACTGTAATGATAAAAAAATAAATAACACTTGAAGAACCTATTTACCCACCTCAAACATATTTAAGAATCTAGTGAAAAGGGAAGGAATAAAACTCTCCCAGTTGATGAAGCTGTAGTTCTTTATAACACGAGCTATAACAGCAGTCCATTGACTATTCCAGAATTGACAGTTGGGAATTGAGTCCCACAATTCAATGCACTCTCTAATCCAATTACTGCCATGAAAATAATTAGGAATTAATTTTCATAAAATGCTCGATTTTGAAACCCATAAACATTAATAGTTCCAAAAACTGATCCTTACTCTGAAAAGAAGTCCTGGTTGTCCAAGTTTGTGGGAAGGAACAGTCTCACAAATCCAGATCCTTCAAAGGATGAATTATGCCATGGATTTTCCAAAAGAGATCTGAAAATTTGTAAACAAGAATTATTTACACATACCTTCAAGCAAATAATTCTACGTCACCGGTAGCAAGAACAGACAAGTCTTAAGCAAATCAGTGTTCCACAAAATCTATGATTTCCTAATGGTAAGGAAATAAAAATTTCAATTTTTTCTGAGCTCAGAATGATCAAATTGACCATGTTAATTTCTTCTCAGGCAATGATCTTTATTCTTTTAGCAGTAAATTCTCAAGTTGCATCCACCTTTTTCTTTCAAGAGGGTCATAAGAACTTTTGTAACATATGAACATGCTACATGCATATACTTTGAAGCTGAAACGAATAGATAGACCTCTATATTTTAGTGAGAGAAAACAGTTTAAAAATCAAATAACTACTAAAATTCAATTCCTGTTCTTATATTGAGAAAATCAATATAATAATTGGAAAAAGAAGAAGCAAAATATAAGAGGTCTTAATTTTTTTATCAGCAAATACAAGTGGTCTTAAATAAAACTCATTCCACAGAGAATTTGACCATATGCCACTAAAGTCTAAACTGAATCAGCTGGAACTGAGTTTGAATTTTCCTTCATGTAGAACATTTGGAAATGCAACATGAACATTTGGAAATGCAACATGAACATTTGGAAATGCAATATATCTCAAACTAATTCAAAATTTAAAAGAGTGCCCCAAAGAACTTGCCTAAACTCTGACCAGATCTCAAACGCAGAACCTGGTGGAAAGAACCGTCGGCATGATCGAACAAGGGAAGTAACAGTCTCAAAATGACGCTGTCTCAATCTCCATCCTTCTGGACCTGTATTCCTGTAAAACATACATAATCCAACACAACACCTGCTGATAAAAAATTTATATACAACACCATGTAAAGTTTACAAAACTAAGAAATAAATGACAAGAACACGCAACAGCAATTCAATCATAATAATCTCTAAGATAATAGTAACAGACGGGGAAAAAGAAGTGCACTATTTAACTGAAATTTGAAGAAATTCTTTCCTATTAAGACAACATTTTATTTTGCTCCATACTGCAATGCCATAATGGTAGCTTAAATCTTATCCATACACATGGCAAGATAGAGGGGAATGAAGGAAGCGAGGAAGGAAGTAGGATTCGCAGTAAACATGGCATCCACCAACAAATATCAGCTTTAAAATATACAATTTGAACATTACGATCTGCAATATATCATATCTGTAGTAATTGATGCCATCTCAACATTTCTAATACAATAAAACTAACCTCGTGAAATGTGTATTAATAAGGGTATCATACAGAGGCCGCCACTGAACTTTCAAAGACAACTTCTTTCGATACCTATTAAGGACTCGGACTAAGATATTCCCCCATCTAACCTAATATACAGAAAAGAAACCATCATTTAGGAAAAAGAAAAAGGATGAGAGAACCATGGATGTTATGATAAATATTTTCAAGTATAAAATGCACCACCTGTACATAAAGCTTGTTCTCAGACTTATGGAATATTTCCAATCCCATTTGTAGAAGTGTAGCTACATCTTCCAAAGATATATCACTTTTGGCCTTAATGAAACTACAAAACAAAATGGAATCAGTCAGTTTCCAATGCTATAACCAACTTGAGATAGACGGACTTAAAAACTGAAAAGGATTTAGACATTATAGAGGCAGCATCATTCCATCCAATTTATGTTTTTCAATACATAGACAAGCCCGTATAGATATAAGAGTGATCAATTTACAACACAGTAACCTGAAGAGATTAAAAAAAAAAAATGACGAATGACATAACAGAGAAACAAACACTTCCAATCTCCAAATATTCGCAATGAAGGGAGCAATATCATATCATATATTATAAAGTTGGCTCCAAATCTATGCCCTTTAGCTTCCCAACTCTCCTGAGCAGCCACTGCTAACTGAATTCACGCCCAGCTAAGCAATTCAGTTAAAACCCTTAACATAATTATCCATAAACCACACTTTATCAGTATACTTTTTGTACTAAGATTAAACTTCTGAATCCTCGAATGCAAAGTCACCTTCTACCTTGGAACTAGAATTAATGCATTCCCCAAAGAGACAAATCCACAGAGACTCACTTTTTATTTAAACAAGTGAATTCATGTTCAAATAACTCCCTATCTTCATGAATAAACATCAAATGACAAAAAAAGAAAAAAAGATAAACAAAACAAATTAGCTCTTACAGCTCGATGACAGAAATCCATTTGAGAGTAGAGTAAACAGATTCGGGGTCATCGGGGCGATACAAGTCCTTGACGGAGCTAACTACCCGAGAAAACGATTGTTTCTCTTTCTTGGTTTCCTCTGCCAGCGGCGGCGGCAGCCACGCATTGTATAAGTGCATGTCGTCGTCTTCGCCTTTTTCCCTGCGATCGGTGCTGCGAAATGAAAAAGATGATAGCTTTGAGGGAAAACTGAAATGGGAAATTCAGTATATTTATAGAGTTGGTGAGGTTATTTCTTTTTAAACAAGAAATCAAGATGGGATTTTTTTTTTTCTGATGCTTGCTTTTCAGTGTTTGACCCTCACACCTAAGCTTTAGAATGCAAAAGAAAAATGAAAAAAAACAAAATGGTAAAGTAAAGCACAAAAGTTATAACTTTTTCTTTTTTCCTTTTTTGAAGAAAATTAATATGAAAAAAAAAAAGTGTTGAGTAGCTTTCAGTTTTTTAATATATTGAATTATGTAATATTAATTATTAAATTAAAAAAATCTTTAAAAAGTTTTTTTTATTAAAGATTAAAATTTTACATTTTTTTTCTAGGCACTTTAGAGTATTTATCAAGTTACAAAAACTAAACTCAAAAAATTATGTGTTTTTTTATTTTTAACTTTTTTATCATGGGATTAACTTGAGCCATTACCAAAAAATATGAACTTTTACAAATGTAATTAGGGTCACTTGACCTGAAATGCGAAATTCATTAGGTGTTTTCTTTTAACATAATGCCTTTTTGTAGTGTGTATTACGTGAACAGTAAAATTGTTAATAAGTATTAATGAAAGAGTGCGCTTTATGCTTTGAAAAAATCAAAAAATAAGATATATTGTCATTAAAAATATCAAAATATTTAATAATAATTATATATTAAATTTAATAAAATTAAAACTCACATCATACTTTACATAGGTGAAATATCTAAATGCACCTCAAAATATAATGGTAAGGATAGATCTACCTCCGAATAAAAACTAAGGATAAATTTAATCACAAAATTTTTTATTTGAATAAATCACCCAAAATTTAATATGTAACATCATTTAACATTAACAATCCATTATTTTATTATATTTCTAATAACAGATTACTGACATTAAGTTAATAGATTGCTAACATCATATGATATTTCACGTTAAATTTAAAATTATTTATCTAAATCAAAAACTTTGTGGATAGATTTATCTCCATTTATTGTTTGTGATGAATCCACCCTGCTACTATACTTTAAGAGTAAGTTTTTGTATTTTGCCCTTTACATATTATGTGATTATTATTAGATATTTTAATATTTTTAATACTAAAACACCTTATTTTTCCTTTTCCCTATGTTTTTTCAATAAGATTTTTTTAATTTGTAATGCTACCATTAATGATATTTTTCATTAATTAGCATTGAAAATAAAAATTATTATAGATTTTTTTAACATATGCTTTGTATATGTATCTATTTTACTCCATTGGTCTAAGATTAATAAACATTTTTAATTTTAGAATTTGTCTAAAATTACTAGTGATTTTTTCATATTTTAATAGCAATAAAACTTTTTTTAAACTTTAACTTCATTATTATCCTATCATTTTGATTTTTTAACTTGTTATAAAAATACTTCATTATTTTTATTTTTTTAAGAATAATATAAGTAAAAATACAAATGTCTACACAATTTTAATATGAAGATAAAACGCCCAATTAAAAT